ACCGGGGCACCTGCCGCCCAGCCTAGCCCCTCCCCAACCACACGCACACACTGCACGCTCACACGCACCTGCACACTCGCACTCATCACACACACTCACATTACGCAGACATTTGCTTTCAGCCAAACCTCCAGCCCCTGGTCCCAGAGTGGGACTGGGCTCAGCAGAGCTGCTGTGTTCAAAGGTTGTAACGTTTAGTTAGGAAGAAGACGCATCAATTTTTAATGGTTATTAGCTCAAAATGAAGATGTCTGGCAAGAAGGCTGACGGGACCGTGCTCGGAGGTACCGTGCGTTTCCTGTGGCAGAGCAGGAACCCATCGAATTGTGTCACATACACATTGCCAAGGCCCCGAGCCCGTGCAACCCCAGTGCTCCCCCAGCCTCTTTAGAGCATGACCAGGGCAGAGCCCCCATGGTCCCACCCCTTGTGCCTCACGCAGCTCGCACACACTCAGGCTCCCCAAGGCCCCACAACTTTGGGGGCAGAGCCCCAGGCCCAACTTGCACCCCATTTCCCATAACCTACAGCAGGCGGCAGTGCCTGCTGGTCCCCAATCTTCCATGTGTCCCCACTCAGTCACCCATTCAGGGTCCTCACACTTCCCAGCCTGCTCCCAAGCATCCTGACGCCCCACCTGGGAGACCCTGCACGTAGGTGTGGGAGACCCTGCAGGGTGCTGGGCGGTGGGGGCTCCTCCGAAGGCCTGGGGGTGAGGAGGTAACAGCAGGCGTGGGGCAGAGGGAGCCCTTAGTTGGGCTGCTTGCGGCCAGGCGGCTGGACAGTGACTCAGCAATTGGGGTGCACGGCGGTGCTCACACCTCTCCCTACGGGGCAGGAGGGTCCACCACCCAGGTATAAGCTGTGGTCCAGCTGCAGTGGCAGCGGGGAGGGGCCATGGCTTGGCCCAGTGGGGTGTCCCTGCCCCCTGCACCCCACAAGAGCTGCCCGTGGCTGAACATGGATGTTGGGGCTTGCTGGGGTGGAGTGAGGGTGACAGACAGCAGGATGCAGGTGACGTGACAGCTCAGGGCTCTGCCACCATTCAGCAGGTTATTCACATGACTTGAGGGCGGCCTGTTTCTTCATTTTTGCAACAAGGGCTTCGATCTACATTGTCTGCAGGGTCCCCAAGCAGTTTCATCTGTGTGATTTAAGAATATCCACGCTCGAAGTCTAGGTTCAAAGAGAAACGCCCATGTCAGGTGTGTGGTGCTGAGGGCCACATGCCTCCCCTGGGAGCCTCCTCCTCCATCGGTGCAGGGCAGCAGGCACAACCCTTACTCGCAGATGTGAGGCTAGTAGGCTGGCCCAAGGCGGCACACAGAGGCTGAGCGAGAGGGGGCGATACCAGGCCCTCAGGTTCTGAGCCTCAGGCCTCTGGCCTCGGCCCTGGGCCTCCTCTCAGAGGGCCTGGGATTTGCTGAGCTCAGCTTATTTGCAGGAAAAGGGACGTGAGCGGCGCTGCAGCAGGAGAGATTGAAGTTAGACACCGGGAAGGACTTGCTAACTTCCCGAGACGCTGAGTGGGCTGCTTTCCCAGAGCCGGTTAAGAACCGGCTGTGCTGAGCCCATGAGCAGCAGCTGCCTGGCTCCGACCCCAGAAGTTCACCGGGCCTTGGTGGGCAGGGAGCTCACAGACGGGCAGCTCATTCTCAGAACGAGCTAGAAACCATTCACTAAAGCCCCATCCTCGGCCCGCCAGGACCAGTGTTGAGCTGGAGCATGGGCACGAAATGCAAAGGCATTAGCTTCGCTGAAAGTGTCCGTCTTTGTCGGCCACGCGCAGCGACAGACATCTTGCTGGTGCCTTTGCACCTCGTCACCATCACCGTGGCCCCTACAGGTGCAGGTGGGGAGAGGAAAGCGGCCGGATCCTGTCCACCTGCGTTACCTGCACTGTCTGAGGCCAGGCCTGAGTGGACGGTCCACAGGACAGCACGGCCCCCACATCCTGCTTAGTTGGTTTGGGGTGGCAGTTGGTGGTGAGTGTGAGTGTGTGTGTGAGAGATCTTGGTGGGGGGCAGGGAACAAACTCACTCGTCTCTGATATGGGGTCAGGATCCCATTTTGGAGACATCTCATCTGGGAGGATGCCGGGGTGGGGGCGCCGGAAGCCAGCTGCAGGAGAGAGTGGGGGGGTCCGGGGAGAAGCGGGGTGGGGCCCTGGGTGGGCTCCAGCCGAGGAGGAAGGTGCTGGTGGCAAGACTGGGACTTCAGTTTCTGGTCTGAAGGACCCTGGGGTCAGGCAGGGGACAGGCAGCAGGCAGCTACCCTCACGTGGTTCAAAATCCAAAAGCTACAGAGGGGTGCACAGTGAAATGTTGGGCTCCCCTCCTCAGAAACAATGACAGCTGATGTCCCCAAGGCCTTGGACACTGTGCCAGAGCCCTTCTGCGACGCTGACCACAAACAACGTGGGTCCACTTACACGTGGGTTGTTTTCAATTGATACTGTACACGTGTTTTCTCTTCCCTATGATTTTCTTAATATTTTCTTTTCTCTAGCTTACTCTATTGTAAGAACACAGTATATAATTGATATAACATGCAAAATACGTATTAATCAACTGTTTATGTCATCGGTCAACAGTAGCTGTTAGTCATTAAGTTTTAGGGGAGCCAAAAGTTATACGCAGGTTTTGGACTGCACAGGGGTGGGCACCCTGACCCCACGTCGTTCAGGGTCAGCCGTGTGTGTTTGTCCCCGCCGCCCCTGGACGTTACGCCGTTCTTGTGCACAGGGGTTTTTGACCACCACTGTCGCAAGATCATTGCACGTCTGCTCTAGAAGAGTGCAACTCCGAGCACTGACCTTCACGACGCTCCCACATGGGCTGACCATGAGCAGAGCAGAGCTCCAGAACATGCTAGAATGTGTGTGCAAGGCCATCTCACGCCATCCCTGTCTCTAGTCTAACTCCCTGCCCTCTGCACTTGACAGGCTGTGGTCAGTGTAGACCCTGCTCTGAGGGTAGAACCAGTGTAGAACCAGACTCTGAGCACCTGGGTGTTTGGCTCTCCGGGGAGGCATGGCCCTCGGCGTCTCTGCAGGGAGAGGTGATGTGCAGGAGGGGAAGGCTAGCTGAGTGGCAGGACTTCCCTGGAGGACAGGAGAGTCTGGAGCGCAGGCACTGAGATGGCCACAGGAGCCACGTGGCCACACTGGTCAGACAGACGGCTGGACGGCAGTCAGTGGGCTGGGGAGGAACGGAGTGCCTGCCAGACTCACCGCTTTGGTACTTAGCTTCTGGTGCACCCCTGCTCCTGCAGCCCCATCTCCCACTATTGGAGACTCCCCCTTCCTGAGCTCTCCCTGAGGCCAGGCCCCCCAGCCTCGGCCCCGACAGAGTGGGCGAGTGGGGAGAGCAGGCGACTCAGACTCAGGCGAACAAGTTCGAGTCTCTGCTGACGTGTTGGGCAGGTCGCTTAACTGGTGGACTTTGCCTCATCTCTGAAATGGGTGGAATATCGGTGTCCTCCTCCGGCGGATAGAGGACGGAGCTGTGATGGTTGCCCCTGTGGCCCGACGCCCACTTCACTCCCACCACCTGGTCTTGAACTTTTCGTTCCCCTGGGAAGTCTTTCCGAATTCTTTGAACCTCATTTTCCAGTGTGGCCATTAGCCACGTGCATCAGAGTGAACGGGGCTTTTAAAGGAGGTTCCTGACTTCCTTCTGGACCACCGAGCTGGGCTTGATCAGGCGCCTGGCAGGGGTCCTGCATCGTAATGGCCTCCTCAGGGGTCTCACCAGGGACAGACGGGGACCTGCTTCAGCTCTTCACCAGTATCTGCTCCTAGAGGTTCCACCAGCCTAGCAGGCGGGCTCCACGGTGCCTCCAGCCGTCTCTGCCTAATGTCTCTGTTTCACGCTTCCCTGCTCGGGGATTCTGAGCACACAAGGCGCTTGCTCTGTCCTGGGGTGGCTGGAGCCCCAAGCCGTTTATCATCCTCAGCCTTCCAGCTGCCGCCCTCCCCAGGACTACAGCAAGTGAGCCAGCGGGGCAGCCACCCCTCCCTGAGCACTTGGCTTCCCCTCCTCACTCTCCTTGTCTCCTCCCTGCCGAATGCAGGAGCCCCCCAGCCACGGAGCTGGCTGTTGGGCAGGGAGCAGCCGTCTGTCGCTACCTGGGGCCCCAGATGGATTCTGCTCCCAGTGTGGCCCCCGGCACCTTGTGCCCTGTGACCTCAGAGAAGTCATTTCATCTCTCAGGGCTTCGTTCCCCCGGGAGCCTCGAGAACTGGTGGCAAGCATCTTCGTTTCCTTAGCTTCTGGTGGACAAGTAGGGATGAAGGCACCTACCCCTTTCACACACTTCAGTGCTGGGGAAGTTGTTGGTGACACAAATGTTCACAAATAGGCTGGAGAACACAGGCATCACAGATAAGAGCCTCTGATCTGTCCGTTGCTTAACACGAACTGACTGAGCACCTACTATGTGCACATCCAAAGTCCCTGCATTTATGAAGCTTAAATTCTAGTGATGGGGGACAACAAATAAAAGACAAAATATGCAGGGTGTTGGTGATGCGTGCTGTGGAGGGAGGTAAATGGAGGACGGGAGGAGGTTCTGGGGGTCCTGGAGTTGCAGCTGAAGGTACAGTCATTATATGGGACCTCGCTGAGCTGAGGCTTGAGCTGTGTGGAAGTCCACAGGGAACTTGTGTTGCAGGCAGAGGGAACATCAGGTGCCAAGGTTCAGAGTCAAGCGGGTGCCTGGTGGGTGTGTGGGCATGTAAGAGGGAGTGAAGGCGTGCAGGGGGGTGTGAGGGCGTGCAGGGGGCTGTGAGGGCGTGCAGGAGATGCCTGGTAATGACGTGAAGGAGACGGACTCACAGGCTGAGTGAGGATTATCCTTGGAGAGGATGAGGACCTGCTGTGGGTTTGTTATGACAACAGGTGCTCTGTCTGCCGGGCCCAGAACACACGGGGAGGGCGGGAGCCTCTCCGCAGCCAGACCCCGGGGTGCTCATCTGCCCCTCCCGCCCTTGTCCATAGCTGCCCCCTCGCCACCATGAGGAATATCTTCAAGAGGAACCAGGAGCCCGTGGTGGCTCCTGCCACCACCACGGCCACAATGCCAGTCGGGCCGGGCCCCGCGGACAACTCCACCGAGAGTGGGGGTGCTGGGGAGAGCAAGGAGGACATGTTTGCGAAGCTGAAGGAGAAATTCTTCAATGAGATGAACAAGATCCCTTGTGAGTGTCCCTGTGGTGGGCGGGGGTACGGGGGGCGGGCAGAGCTAGAGAAGGGACTTGTGGGCAGGGCAAAGCTGAGGGTGAGGGCACCGCTGCGGTGGGATTGGCTGGGTTCTTTCCTACCCTTTGGGTTCCAGGCTGGATTATTTAGGGAGCCCCTTCACGAATGGGGGAGTGCGGACTGGCATAATGAGGGGAGCAAAGGGGTGTATTTGCCCCAAACCCCCCGGGGGAAAAAAGTTCTTGTAAAATTTAGGAAACTGTCAAAGATGAAAAGATGAAACCAAAAGATGAAAAATTATGAAACAAGCTTTCCAGTTGCACTTTGAAACCACTTCACTTTGCTTTCTTTATATATGTTGAAGCACGGTTGGAGTACAGTATTCTATTAGCTCCGTCAGTCTCAGGTGTGCTAGGTAATGACGGACAGGCTCTTACCTCGCAATGCCCCCTGCTGTCTGAATTCCTGGCTAAGGCGCATGGGAGACAGCGGCGGCCCCACCTAACGGAGCAGCCCCACGGCGGGGTGGGGGGACGGTGCCTCAGGACCACGGAGAGCGGCCCACCCAGCCCTCGCAAGACCAAGCAGCTGGCTGGGCCTCGGTTCTCTTCCTGCCTCGCTCTGATGAGGGCCCCCGTCTCTCCATCTGTCCAACACCAGCCAGTTCTCCAGAAATCAAACTGGTCAGCCGGTGGGGCTCACTGGTTCCTCCTGGCCCGTCCCTGGTTGCTGCCTGTCCGGCAGCAGGTGTGTCCCCGAGGCAGCGGCTAAGGGAACAGCCAGGTGTCAATGAAAAGGCAGCTTTTCTGCAAATCTCTCCCCCAGTGTGTGGTTACAAATGTGGGGTGTGGGCAGCGGGGGGCTGCCGTCTCTGCCCGCTTCTGCCGGGGCTCCGGGTCAGGGCTGCGGGGGGCGCGCTGCTGACCCGGGTCTCCGTGTGGGCAGTGCCTCCGTGGGCGCTGGTCGCCATCGCCGTGGTCGCCGGCCTCCTGCTCATCACCTGCTGCTTCTGCATCTGTAAGAAGTGCTGCTGCAAGAAGAAGAAGACCAAGAAGGAGAAAGGCAAGGGCATGAAGAACGCCATGAACATGAAGGACATGAAAGGGGGGCAGGTAGGACAGCCCAGCCCTCCTGCCGCCCGCCCCCC